TACCATCTAAGCTTATCTCATCTCGGCTTAACTTATCTTATCTTATTTCATTTCATTTCATCTCATCTTATTTCCTCTTTTCTTCCCTTCTTATTGCCCTTTTTATTTTTATTTTTCATTTATTTGTTTTTATCTTTCTATATTGAATTTCCTTTTTTCATCATCATTTTATATTTGGTTTAATCTATTTCTTTTCAGCATTCTCATTATTTATTTATTCCAACCTTTTTTTCTTTTTTTCAGCATTTTCGTATATTTCTCTTACCATTAATCACATTTTCCTACCATATTTTATATTTTTTTACTCCATCAATCCTTCTTTATTATTTCACCCAATTCTGTGATATCAATTTTTTCCACAAGTGAGTTATATTTTTAACGCAAATTCCATATTATTGTAGACTGTTTTATTAACCGCATCCGCATTTAGACTTATCTGTTTACAAAAATATTTAAGATAACTATCTTAAGTTTATCCTTCCATACTTCCTCTTAATTTCGTCTATTTGTCCGTTTATTAATATGGTAAAAAGAGATCAATTCATCCTATTTTGTTTGAGGTGATGGTAGTAGAATTTCCCCACAACGACGTTTCCATTGAATTTCACATAGCCTTGCTTTCCAAAAACCTGTTCCCATCCAGGCAGGAGTGGACTGCAGTTTTGACCTCCCTTCGGCCTTATCAACACCCATATCGTGATTCGAACCGTGATAGTTTATAATGTGAGCTTGACACGTTAACCCCTCGACCACATTGCCACGAGTGCCCTTAGGTCACAGGGCAGATGTAAATTTCAAGGAAGGCCAGGCCTTTTCTCATATCACAATTTTCGATGGGATTGTCGATGAAGCAAACGTATATTTGCTACAACCATCGACTACATTACTTATTTTTCCTTATGTAAGTAGAGCGTCGAGACTACCAGCAAATCATTAATATGAGGTGTATTCACCCTATTCTACTACCAGTCCTTCATCACCTTAAACGAAATAGAGTGAACACATCTCATATTACTGATTTACTGGTAGTCTTGAAACTCTACTAGCATACTATGATAAAGCCCGATGCGGTTATGAAAACGTAATCTTAGTCTTTTTTTTCGAAGTATCAGGACGATGATCCAAAGAATGGTTCTAAAATATATTTTTAAATTCAGTTGTCCTTTAAATTTAAAACTCCAGTCTCTAAATCATAGATTCCATCATATGTCTAGCTAATTCTCTGTCTGCTTATTTTTTTCTTTGTATGACTTCATATCTGTCTTTATGCCCTTTGTCTGCTTGTATTTTTGCTTATTTCATATATATATATAATTATCTTGTTTTACTGACTACCTGTTCTTTTCACTATCTGACTGCTTGTTTGTTTGTTTGTACGTCTAGCTTCAAGAAGTTACCGTATCCTTCAAATTCCAGCTTCTATTCATATTACTATATCCTAGTCGCGACACTTTTAGTATCATGTTTATTTGATTAAAAGATGACTTTTCTCTGGTGCCTCTGAGGTAAGTTTGGGCACAACCTGGAATGCTTAGTTCTGTGATTAAATTGGCCCTTTAAGGCAAACAGTCACGTCTTGGCAAACAGACAACTCGGCTTGATCCGTCGAATTGCCGGGTTTTACATGAATGGCAAACAGCAGAGTATAAGAGCGCCCTGGCCTGCATTAAGCATCACATCTGTCCTCTGGACCGCTGGCACTTGCGGCAATGTGGCGTAGTGGTTAAAGTGTCGAAATTACAAGCTGTACGGTCATGGTTCGAGTCCCGCTTTGGGCCTAATTATAGACACACGTTTGACTAATTGACAATCCCACTTGACAAATGTAAGTTGACAGAGGCCTGTCCTGCCTTGAATGTTGCATCTGCCCAGTGAGCCATTTAAACCCTTGGCAACATCGCTACGATACTCACGACTCGGCATCGAATCTCGCTGATCAACTGACAGGACTTGGGCGAGGTTGAAACTGCAGTCCACCTTAGCCTGGATCGCGTAAACTTCTGGAAGGTAAGTCCAATGAAAGTGAATAGGACCTTAAGGCTTACTCATCTTATTGTGGGAAAAGTGAACTATATATGAAGTGTATTCACACCATTTCGGTTCAATTTTTCCCACAATCATATGAGTAGACATGACGTTTCCATTTAATTGCACATATTCTTGCTTTAACAACAGCGATTCCCGTACCAGCTGAAGTTGACCGTAGTTTCGACATCTTCTAGACTTTGGCGACGTACAATCTTTACAGGCCAACAACTAAACCACATTGTCACAAGTGCCATTTGGTCACAGGGCTGATGTGAAGTTCAAGTAATGTGACTGTTAGTCCCATTAACATCTTGAACAAATCGAGTTATTATACTTTATGTATAAATGA